ACCAAATCCTCAATAACATAATTAATATGATATAAACTATAACAATTTATATTTCTCAGGACATTTTAAAATCATTCCGACAATCATTTCAACATGTGTTCTCCATTGAAGACGTTATTGACAACTTCCCACAAGTGGAAGAATACAAGAACGACCTCTACGTATTGTCACTGCTAGAACAGGAAATTGCAGAACGTAAGTGATTTAAGATAATTGATTCTGATAGGCTTGTATGTAAAATTCATATATGACCAAACCACCGTGAATACTAGTATATGAGCATTGATATATACGTGTGTTCAAGTGGTGAGTTTCAGGACTAAGAAATCAATAATATGTAAATAAATCTCGCATGGTATTTCATCTCACCTCTACTCGTTGTAACTCCTAGAACAGGAGATTTTAGAACGTTTAAGTAGCTTAATTCGATTCTGATCAGCTCGTGTGAAGGTTTAGTGATGAGGTGATGGCAAATAAGTGGATATTGGCTGGCGGTGTCGACTATTTCAAAAAGAAACCTTCCAAGTAAGATGTCTCATGATAGTATCACACAGTATATAGCTTCTTTAATAAAAACATATTTCCATGGGGAACCCCCTACACATACATGATGATACCCTTTTCGTGTATATCAACGGTGTATAGACATAAATTGAATAACGGTTGAGATTCTTTGCAATGATGCATAACGTGACAATCTTGTAATTAAAACACACAATGGAGTGTACAGCTACTGTACATTATGTTTCCCGAGAGGATCCTGTAAATATGAAATATTAAGTATTAAATGTAATTACATACAAATTTTCCGTCGTCATATAATTATTCACGTCATTTTGTCTATATATCTAAGCATATACAGGACACGGTGTACAGTTTGATTGTTTACTTGTTTTATACAGTGGCTTACTAGTATTAGTACCATAAATGAATAATATAACTCAAATATACCCAAGTCTTACTTGCTACACTAAATTGAACACAAAGTACCATCAGATATGTTAATAATCTCTTACTAGTAAATGAAATGCTTGCTTCGTCACTTAATTAATATATTAACGATTCACATACAGTAAATGTAAATACTAAACAAAATAAAACATCATTTATTAACATATTTGTACTCAAAAACAAATACGTTTGAAAGCCGTAACAAGTATCCCGTATATGTTAATTTTCCCTAGAGAGATCTTATACCTGTTACCAAATAACATCGCTTGCCGTTTAGAACCTTCAATTACAAAACGCATCAATGACATTCTGACAGTTACCACAAAGCGCTGCAACCGTTATCATAATTTCCATTTTCATTACAATTTGCCCCTGTACATACGACATATATGTACTACAGCACTGTCTTTCTGTTCGCAAGCAATTTGATAATCATGTGGAACTCTCTTAGAAGTGAATATTCTTCCATATTCGCTAGTGTTTGTATCAAGTGACGTCACGTCATGGAGACGCTCGAATTGAGCAAGTACAAACTAAATTTATATTTATAACTGATTTGCATTAGTTTTTCAAAGGCTTTGTTCATATGATAAACTTTTTTGGAATTCAAAACAAATCACCAGAAATCACAGCAAAGTAACGCAGTTCGGGTTTGAAATGTCAATCTTCTGCACACGTTGTCTTCAATTGATATTTCTCGTAACCGTGACGACCCCATATTTACAGGTGCTGCTTTGTTTATCGGAACGACTTCATCGAATTGGTCTTTGTACGTGGAGACTAGCAGACAACTCCAAGGCAGGAAGACGGTGTATATCCAACGAGTTCCGGGCATGCCATCCAAATATCAAACCAATAGACGCCATATGTTCTAAAGCTTAACGCCGATTCGATTCTTTGTGTTATCAATATCCCTAAGTATCGGTATATTTTTTTTTAAGTTTTCCAAAATTGGCAAAAATTGCCAATTCAATAAATTGAATAGTCACAATAAATGGTTTAAAGCGCGGTGGTCGTCCAGCTGCGCATGTGCGACATTTGTGTTGATAAACATTGATTTTCCCACAATCCAATGCGCTCTTCTAATGGAGATCACAAGTATGAGGTTTGACCTGGGCGCGACTTGCACTGATTACCGCTATTGATATCTCTAAGACAAGCCTACGTTACAAACTGGTCAAAATCCCCCAAACATTGCCAACAACCAATCACAGACTAGCTTAAACAATAGCTTTCCCTGACGATAATACTTAGCAACGTTATTTCCCCCACGCTAACTTGAAAAATCTTTTGTTTTTGTCTCGTTTCCGGTCTGTTTTAGAGAATCTTCCAATCACTTAAAAATACCTAATTAAAGCTTGGAAGCGTCTCAGTTAGTACTCGTTGATCTGCGCAATGGTCAAAGTTGCCATCTTTGTTTACCTGGTATTTGAGATCCCCATATCTCGCTCATATGTGGTGCGACGACTACCGCCCTTCAAATCTAGTTCGGTTGGTCGGGCGGATAATGGCGTGGCGTACTCTACAACATGTGTTTGTTTGTTTGTTTTTTCGCAATATATGCATGTCGACATCCATTAGAATATTGTACATGAACTAGAGTCTAAATTACAAAACCAATAAAATGTAATTACGGACAGGTAAAGAGAATTTGTAAGCGATCGTTCGTTAATGTACGTCACATTCTACCAAAGAAAACCACGTAAGTAAAGCAGTGAAATTTTGAGATCTACCATAATCCGAGCTCAGTGTTTATTTGTCGTGTGTTTAGAAATGAAATACATCACGAATGTACGTCAAGGAAAGCGTTCGTTAACATAAAAGATTTGTTGTGGGTGCGGCATTATTGCAGGAAAAAAGAAAGTGATTATCTGTCAATATTTGTGAGTTGAGGTGCACTGCTATTCCTCGTTATCCGAAAATTGTCTAATTATTGTATTCACACACATACACGCATCATGCATAATGAATTTATTACACAAATGTATCCACAATGTCTCTGGGGTTGTATTATCATTCATTCATTATATCATGGCAGTTCCATGCAATGAAGTCGTGTAATTACTGTCAATAGGGCAATACTATGTAATACAAATCTTAGTAATCATATTGGTCCATAAAAAAACAAGATTACACTCATGTCAAGTTGTCCTCAAATCTTAAGTAATTTTGTTTTACCCATGTCTAGTGGACATTTCACACACATCAGGTTACGAATTGAATGAACTTTTATACAGAGAAGTACGTTTTCGTCATTGTGTAATCTTTCCTTTCTTCTTTTATGCAGAAAAATACGCATGTGCGCCATTTGTGTTGATAAACATCGATTTTCCCACAATCCAATGTGCTCTTCTAATGGAAATCACAAGTATGAGGTTTGGCCTGGGCGCGACTTCCACTGAATACCGCCGGTGACTCCTTCGATACCTTCCAATCACCTAAAAATACATAATTAAAGCTTGGTAGCGTCTCAGTTTGTACTCGTTGATCTGCGCAACAGTCAAAGTCGCCATCTTTGATTATATGAGACCATATATCTCGAGAACGGAAAATTGTTTATCGTAGTGTTACAGTAAAACATACATTTTACAATATATATTCCTTAATCAAGTAACTGGGCGTATTCATGAACGGCTATCACGGATACAAATAATATAGAAAGTTCTACGTGCTCGCGAATTACTCCCACTCCCACAATTGTCGAAACAAAAATAATATTCTCTATTACCCAACTCACCAAAATAAAGAGACCAAATTATACGTATGAATAAACATGGATGAAAGTAACGTGCAAAGCCTGTCCCTCTTTGTGATTGGAACACATTTCCCGAGTTGGGCAAACCAGTTAAACATTGAATGGCGCCCTCTTTGTCAACAATACCTAGTTCAACAGGTCTCCAAATCTCCAATATTTCCATAAACGCACACTCATTTACTCCCCGATTCACTCGCACTACACTGTTTACTTGATCAAGTATATAACCGGAAAACGCCTTGTTTTCATAAAATAGATGTATATTACAATTATTTATTTTCGCAGAAATTTTTTTAAAAAGAATTTTTTATTCACAATATTTCATTCTCGCGACTCGGAGGATCGTTTTTGAAGGACGGTGCTCTTCGGGGCCGCCGTAAACATCGATGCCATATTTATGCTTATGCGACATACTGCATACAAATAACACACATATTAATAATATTGAGAGAATGCATATTTTTATTAAATACATGCAAATAAGGTACATTATTCCCAATGTTTATAGCACGGCTGGTGTATTTTTCGTTTGTTTTGACAAATAAAACAAATACTGTAAAAGGGTTAATTATTCACTGGGATTTAATTTTGCTGAATGGAAAATCCGCTAAATTAAAACCCAGTGAATTTGTAAAATTGAGCATAAAACACATTATCTAAATAATAAAACCGTGAATTTAAAACACACTGAATATGTCTGAAATGGTAAATCAGTGAAATTTAAACTCTGTGAAAATTAGTCATTTTACAATATGCATTTTGTGGTATAGACTACATTCATCCCTTCCAAATAAAAGAAGAAGTTTTCGAAAATCAGCAGCTTTCCCCCAGGGTAATCAAACGGAACGTCTGACCGCCCGTTTCCAAAACGGTTGAAATCGAACAGTAATCATTAACTCAGCATTGATTAATTATCCCCAAAAGTTAAGCTGTCTTACCCATATTGGCACTGGTAACATGTGTTTTCAGTTAAATATATCAAATCCGTCTCCATTAAAAGACGTGGTTATTTTTAACATATTTAATTAAACAACATTGAAATAAAAGCACGATATCTCTTTGAATAACTGGTTTCAAAAAACAAATGACATTAAATTCAGTGTCTGCGTGACCTCGTAGTGTTTCTTATAGTTTTGTGAGGCCAAAAACTAAACAAATACGATAAAAATATTGTACCTATATTTTTATAAATATAAATAAGTGTCCTTATACATTAAAATATATATAATATATATATCATACATAATGATTTAATCTGTTTGACCTTTGACCCTGGCGTCATGCTGCCCCTATGCGCTATGAATGTGTTTCATATTTTATGCATGCAGACCGCTGACGATTTCAGTTTCGAAGGAATCCGTACGCTGCTATAAACTGACGGCGATTCGTACATGATTATGATTATATTGAGTTGAACGTCGACGGACGATGGCATCGCTGTGTTTATACGTATAGTGACACCGCTATGTATAAGGTAATGTACTAGTTTTGTTACGTGGAGGCGCCCTTCCCAATATATACCGATATATTGGCCGTTATATATTTCAATGCACATAGCTTAATCAGTTATAACACGTCACACTCTAGCGTGTGTTCGTGTCTGATTCAAATCATAGTCTATAGCGAACGTTTAAATTGGCATTAAATTGTTATATTCAACAGTCAAAATGGTTGGCGATGTTCAAATGTTTGTTTTTTGATGAATTCGAGTTATTAAGTTTGACCTATATCTTCTGGAAATGTATTGAATATAACCATTTGACGTGAAGTAATTAATTCGTTATAGACCCACAAACGTCACGCGTGTTGGTAGTGCATGTAAACAAACAATATATTTTACACGCGTTGTACTATGTTGCATGGGACCCATATCGACGTCATGTAACGACTGGGGTACTTCAAGTGCACATGTTTAAAGCGGGGGAGTCGTCACCTGCACAGGCGCTCCAATTGAGCCATAAGCGACGATAACAACGACACATAACCGAGAACCGAGAACACTTTCAAGGGGCTATTTGAAACCCGAAATCATCACCCAAAATTTAGGGCCATCGCTGATTGGCTTCTGGGACTGGATGAGGACTTCGGTTACAAATACTTCATAGTATTTTTATGGTTTCCGAATATACTTGTCATGAATTTGTACGCCAGATGACTGCGCGAGACAATATTACAAAATTTGTGCATAAATTGGTATCGTAAGAATGGACAACGTGACGTATATTGCATAGCACAATTAAAGACAATAGGTAATCACAACAAGCGCCGAAACGATGAAGCTCATATTGATCCCGAAAACTCGCGAAACAAACATAAATTTCTACTTTTCGTGTGAACACGTATTACTACGTTCCTTCCTCGAGTTTACACGTGTATTTAACTAGTATTAATTTGGATGACGTTGTTGACTTTTGCAATATGCCCAAAATAGGCAACATTTGAGGAAACACCGCAATGGCGAAACTATTTCCTTATTTATCTCGTAATCTCACTCTCACATAAGCGGATGTTTTTTTAAGGTTTTCAGGTGGACCAGGCGTAATTGCCTTATTCGTATATCCTGCATGGTAATATTGGTATTGGTGTTACAATGCTACACGTTTGAGTGGATGCCGTCTATGTTGATTTCAAAAACAGACAACCAAGACTACAACGACGTAAGTATTTATGTCGTCATTCCCTTTTTACTGTGATGTGTATACACTCGACAAGACTGAGGCGACGCGCGCGTGGGTGAATATCGCCACCAGCGTGATTGTTTTTGTTTATGTGTGGTAAATTGTGTCGCACAATTTATGTTGAGCACGATAGCGCTTCATGATATTGTCTGTGTCCGCGGAAAACCAATTATAGTATATACAAATACACCGTTCCTGTAATTTGCGCCCTCTAGTGGCGGGCGGTTCTGTGACGTAAATGGGTGTACAGAAACCCGTTCACAGGATCTACATTGTTTTGATCTGTAGTCATACGTCAATAAAAAATCAGAGTACATTCAAAATGACGAACGAGTAAAGAACCAAACACAGTCGTCTCTGGGAGCTACGTTTCTTTCAGCCATTTTACGTTATTTTGACGTCACAGAAGAACTTCGTCTCAAGAGGGCGCTACTCACAGGAAAGATACGTTCAAAGTTACCTATGTAATTGATTTGGTTGAGATTTAAAGTAATATTTGACATGAACAATGTTCCAGCTCGAATTTGTTTAGCTCACTATGTAAGTAAAAGCAATAACAGTTTTGAAATATAATAAACTAAAATTTTACAAACAGGATTTACATAAATTATATAATTAGTATAGTTGAGTCGTCAGAAAACTATAACAACTGTCAACCAATTTAAAATATTGATAATTGCAATGTCATGGTGTTAGTCAAATGAAAAAACAGAGTCATACCATGGAACTAAATTGAAATTTAATTTCTTTCCTTGGCCTGGGTGCATTCCGGTGTATGTTTTTCCCGTGCGCTAATAGACTTGAAGGATGACGCAGCTGGAAGCAACCGCAAGATGGCATTGTAACGAGTTTGTTGCTTTCTGACTTCGTCGCGGTGCATTTGTATAAATTTCATATATTGGCCGCGTGCTGTAAATTGTATTCATTTGATGAAATAAATGAACTATATAAATGTGCGTTCACTTTAAATTGCTAGAACGTACCAATGACCTAAAGCGGGAGGGTCGACACCTGCGCACGCCAGGGAGTTCCAAGCGGCGATAACAACACACGCTAAAAACGCAAAGGCTCATGGGTAGACGCTTGTTTGTAAATAATGACACGCTATGGCCATCTGACGCATGCGGATGTGACGACTCTCCCGCTTTAAAAAGCATGTGCATTTCATCAAACATTTGTTCACGCGACCGGAACAACCGGTTTACTGCACGATATTACTCAGATTGTTTTTTATTTTGCCTTGTAAAAACGATTTTACTTATTTACAGGTGGCGATAGAACATTTCACCACGAAGCACGAGGAACGTAATAATGAAGACACAATAACTACAAATGAACCAACAATTCGCATTTCGCCTATACTTGAAAATAGTAAACGGTCTTCAAAACATTCGGCGGGATTTAAAAGTGGCAATCATCGCTTTGCGTTACCTTTAATAGCGTTTCAATCGGGACCGAATGGGATCTACAACGCGTTTCGTAGAGCAATGGTGTTCGCCACCCTCCATGGGCGATGTCTTGTCGTGCCGCCGTTCCATGACCACAAAGTACAGGACGGTATCACAAAAGGGCGAAGTCTCAACGAGACTTTTGACGTTCAGAAGCTCACCGAGGCCGTGAATCTATGTGACTTGGACCAATATAAGGAACACTGCGGGGACAAGATTTCCGAGAGTATGATAATCGTTCCACCGGTTATCAAAAGAACCGTGGAATCCATAGACAACTATAATAAAGAAGTCCAAAAATATTACCGGAATGAGACAGTGTATTTGTACGATAAATTCGTGGAGAGTTTCTTCAACGATACCGGTCTGGTTCTACCGAAAATTAACACGGTGTTATCGTACTCACAGGGAGAACGGGAAAGAATGGTGATCGAGAACGAGAGCGCCGATTGCTTGGTCTACTTTCCAGCCGTCAAGCCCCTACTCCAGGAATCAGATGCCGTGAAGTCTACCCAGATTGCAAGTCACCTTGTGAGGGCGTCCTATATTCAACACATGGCATCCGAAGTGACAGGCAATCTTTGCGGAGGGCGCTACGCGGCACTGCACTGGAGAAACCGGACCGGGGAAAAGTAAATTTATTTATTTGTTTGTTTGTTTGTTTGTTTGTTTATTTATTTATTTACTTGAAGTTGCATCAGACACCTATAATATAATATAAGCTTCCCGTGATCCATTGTTTTGTCGAAGGGGTTCTTTGTTTAAAAATATATATACACATTGATTTATTGCACAATTTACACTAGATGCGGGCTGGAGTCAACTAAGGACATATGCCAGTCTTTACATCGGCGAAAACTCAGAGAGTTGGCTAGTGTGCTAGATCAGATCGTGGACAGTCTCAAATCCTATCTTGAAGCACAGGACATAGGTTGTTTATATGTAGCCGCGCCGCCTTACAGCCAGGTAAATTGATACCATTGTTTCGAAATTGTTAACACTTCCATAAAGTCAATGTCCAAGTACTAGTATTTATCTATTTTGAAACTATGTTATTGCTTGGCGCCAGTCGTTGCATTACGTCATGTTCAATATGGGTCCCATGCGACATGTACAACGCGTGTGTATGATATTCGAACTCGCGCTGTGTGACAGTTATGGCGCACTGCCGGATAGCTATGGCGGACCGCGCGACGACTGTGACGCGCTGCGCGACGAACGGGGCGAGCTGCGCGACGGACGTGGCGCGGTGTATGACGACTGTGGCGCGCTGCGTGACGGACGAGGCGCGTTTTATGCTATCATATACTGAATATTTTCTTCTGTTTATTTAGGCCATCTTCGCTTCGTTACGACAATCGTTACCGAAAGTCATCACATTAGATAATCTACTTGACTCATATCACACCGTATCTCACTACAAAGAAGAACTGTATGTGCTATCACTACTTGAACAAGAAATTGCAGAACGTAAGTATCCTCGGGGACGGACATCCGGGAATTTTCTACCGCCTGGCAACCCTCGCGGTGAAAACAAAGACCAAAAACTCGCAGAAAACGGTACTTTGCGATGGTTGATGAGAGTCCCCTGAACGGTGTAACAAGATTAGCCCTACGTGTGTAACATAAATGAATTTGGTTGTTCAGGATTACTTCAAAGTTGAGTTTGTGTTGTTTTCTCGAGTTTTCACCGGCTCTACCGGCGTTCCACAGCAGCGCGCACAAAGCCCTTAGAAATACGTGGTACAGTGGTGCGCGTCTTAGCAACGTAGAACGTCCGTGACGTAGCTCCGCCCCCGAGGATTGGGGACCAAATGATTATGATTCATCGTAAACTAAAATTATTATATATATACTTATTCGTTCAAGTTAACTTGAAAATGAAAACAATAATATTCATGATTTTCATTGTGCATATCAATAAAGTATTTCATCATAATATGGGACGAAAACTCACAGTTGTATTCTGTAAGAACAACGTGATTACTCATGATGAACTAGAATCAAATGTATTTATTAACATGCAGTAGCATACAAACAACATTCAAAATTACATGTGTTTCTCCATATTGCATTCATTAAGATTATGACTCAAGTACACGGTTCCTAAAATGGACTTCACTTTTGGAGAATGGTGTTCTGATT